CTCACGCCGACCCCCTCAAGTAGCGGTCAGACCTTCATTCTACCGATCACTCCAAATGGACAGGAGAGCCAAGGCTGAATAAAACTTTGGATTGGAAACTTAACAAAATAAAATTAAATGTTGAATAACAGTGATTGTAAAAAGCGGAAACGAAGAAATCTTTAGTAATTCCAGAAGAATCAAGTCTAATCAAGAAATGGAATCTTAAGTAACACCTGACCAATCAAGTCTAATCCAGGTATATGTGTATTAGTAATAAAGCTGATAAATTAGTTTTATGTTATTATTCACTGATAACGGAAAGTTGGCCACCAGGAGCATGGTCGCTGGAGGCTCCAGGAGGACCATGAGGAGCATGGTCGCTGGAGGCTCCAGGAGGACCATGAGGAGCATGGTCGCTGGAGGCTCCAGGAGGACCATGAGGAGCATGGTCGCTGGAGGCTCCAGGAGGACCATGAAGAGCATGGTCGCTGGAGGCTCCAGGAGGACCATGAAGAGCATGGTCGCTGGAGGCTCCAGGAGGACCATGAGGAGCATGGTCGCTGGAGGCTCCAGGAGGACCATGAGGAGCATGGTCGCTGGAGGCTCCAGGAGGACCATGAGGAGCATGGTCGCTGGAGGCTCCAGGAGGACCACGAGGAGCATGGTCGCTGGAGGCTCCAGGAGGACCACGAGGAGCATGGTCGCTGGAGGCTCCAGGAGGACCACGAGGAGCATGGTCGCTGGAGGCTCCAGGAGGACCATGAGGAGCATGGTCGCTGGAGGCTCCAGGAGGACCATGAGGAGCATGGTCGCTGGAGGCTCCAGGAGGACCATGAGGAGCATGGTCGCTGGAGGCTCCAGGAGGACCATGAGGAGCATGGTCGCTGGAGGCTCCAGGAGGACCACGAGGAGCATGGTCGCTGGAGGCTCCAGGAGGACCACGAGGAGCATGGTCGCTGGAGGCTCCAGGAGGACCATGAGGAGCATGGTCGCTGGAGGCTCCAGGAGGACCATGAAGAGCATGGTCGCTGGAGGCTCCAGGAGGACCATGAAGAGCATGGTCGCTGGAGGCTCCAGGAGGACCATGAGGAGCATGGTCGCTGGAGGCTCCAGGAGCAGCTACACAAGCTTTAAGACCGTCATAAGGAAAAGTATGGAACATCAACCCAGATTAGTGCAAGATATATATATATATATATATATGAATTGTGGTACTCACGTAACATTAAAAACAACATTACATTAAAAAACAAAAAAACAAAAAATTAAAAACATTAAAAATTAAAAAATTAAAAAACTAAAACCAAAAACCGCCCAGGTCTTTGCAGTGTGAAAATTTCGCAGGAGTGGAAGGAATACTCAAGCAAACAACTACAACAAATTACTCTATAATCAACAAGATAAGCAAATAACATCTGAAATACACAAAAAACCCTGACATCAAACACTTGGCTAACACACAAGAGCCAGAATCACATATGAAAAACCTACGCTAACACAAACGTGGGTGTCTTAGAATTCCTACACAAGACACTACAACCTGCACACGAAGCCGCGTCTGATGAAACTCTGTACCTACAGCATTAGTAACGCTGTGAAAGACAGTACCTACAGCATTAGTAACGCTGTGAAAGACAGTACCTACAGCATTAGTAATGCTGTGAAAGACATTACCTACAGCATTAGTAATGCTGTGAAAGACAGTACCTACAGCATTAGTAATGCTATGAAAGACAGTACCTACAGCATTAGTAATGCTATGAAAGACAGTACCTACAGCATTAGTAATGCTATGAAAGACAGTACCTACAGCATTAGTAACGCTGTGAAAGACAGTACCTACAGCATTAGTAACGCTATGAAAGACAGTACCTACAGCATTAGTAACGCTGTGAAAGACAGTACCTACAGCATTAGTAACGCTATGAAAGACAGTACCTACAGCATTAGTAACGCTGTGAAAGACAGTACCTACAGCATTAGTAACGCTAAGAAAGACAGTACCTACAGCATTAGTAACGCTGTGAAACACTGTACCTACAGCATTAGTCATGCTATGAAAGACAGTACCTACAGCATTAGTAACGCTATGAAAGACAGTACCTACAGCATTAGTAACGCTAAGAAAGACAGTACCTACAGCATTAGTAACGCTGTGAAACACTGTATCTACAGCATTAGTAACGCTATGAAAGACAGTACCTACAGCATTAGTAACGCTGTGAAAGACAGTACCTACAGCATTAGTAACGCTGTGAAAGACAGTACCTACAACATTAGTAACGCTATGAAAGACAGTACCTACAGCATTAGTAACGCTGTGAAAGACAGTACCTACAGCATTAGTAACGCTATGAAACACTGTACCTACAGCATTAGTAACGCTATGAAAGTCAGTACCTACAGCATTAGTAAAGCTATGAAAGACAGTACCTACAGCATTAGTAAAACTATGAAAGACAGTACCTACAGCATTAGTAACGCTAAGACAGTACCTACAGCATTAGTAACGCTGTGAAAGACAGTACCTACAGCATTAGTAACGCTAAGACAGTACCTACAGCATTAGTAACGCTGTGAAAGACAGTACCTACAGCATTAGTAACGTTGTGAAACACAGTACCTACAGCATTAGTAACGCTATGAAACACAGTACCTACAGCATTAGTAACGCTGTGAAAGACAGTACCTACAGCATTAGTAACGCTGTGAAAGACAGTACCTACAACATTAGTAACGCTGTGAAACACTGTATCTACAGCATTAGTAACGCTGTGAAAGACAGTACCTACAGCATTAGTAACGCTTCCAATCCAATGTACCATCTACAGATTTCCTAATTATTTAATGGATGAGTGTTTCCCTTCATCATAGTTCATCTATATTCATCTGAGCACGACCCACGATAGATAACAAAATTATTTCACCCTCAATGCATCATCCTCTCGTTGTGGAGAGAGCTGGAACATGTAACCAAAATGATGCTTTTAGAGAAATTTGGAAAAAAGGCCAAAAAAGGTGGATTGATCTCTCATGGAAGACATTCAAGGCTGAAGTCAATGACCCGTCATACCTTTCCATAAATAGAACACGCGGGAAAAATAGTGACAGAGCGATTGGTTTCACCGAGAGATCAGTTAGAATAATTCCCTCTGTAACTAACAAGAGGAAGTTGGAAACACAGATGATGTGAATGGCAGGGTTGGTGGATGGTGTCAGTGTTGGTGGATGGTGTCAGTGTTGATGGATGGTGTCAGTGTTGGTGGATGGTGTTGGTGGATTGTGTTGGTGGATGGAGACAGTGTTGGTGGATGGTGTCAGTGTTGGTGGATGGTGTCAGTGTTGGTGGATGGTGTTGGTGGATTGTGACAGTGTTGGTGGATGGTGTCAGTGTTGGTGGATGGTGTCAGTGTTGGTGGATAGTGTCAGTGTTGGTGGATGGTGTTGGTGGATGGTGTCAGTGTTGGTGGATGGTGTTGGTGGATGGTGTCAGTGTTGGTGGATGGTGTCAGTGTTGGTGGATGGTGTTGGTGGATTGTGTTGGTGGATGGTGACAGTGTTGGTGGATGGTGTCAGTGTTGGTGGATGGTGTCAGTGTTGGTGGATGGTGTCAGTGTTGGTGGATGGTGTCAGTGTTGGTGGATAGTGTCAGTGTTGGTGGATGGTGTCAGTGTTGGTGGATAGTGTCAGTGTTGGTGGATGGTGTTGGTGGATGGTGTCAGTGTTGGTGGATGGTGTCAGTGTTGGTGGATGGTGTTGGTGTTAGTGGATGGTGTCAGTGTTGGTGGATGGTGTCAGTGTTGGTGGATGGTGTCAGTGTTGGTGGATAGTGTCAGTGTTGGTGGATGGTGTTGGTGGATGGTGTCAGTGTTGGTGGATGGTGTCAGTGTTAGTGGATGGTGTTGGTGTTGGTGGATGGTGTCAGTGTTGGTGGATGGTGTCAGTGTTGGTGGATGGTGTCAGTGTTGGTGGATAGTGTCAGTGTTGGTGGATGGTGTTGGTGGATGGTGTCAGTTTTGGTGGATGGTGTCAGTGTTGGTGGATGGTGTCAGGGTTGGTGGATGGTGTCAGTGTTGGTGGATATGGTGTCAAGGTTCGTGGATGGTGCTCAGGGATGGTAGATGTGTAGTCAGGGATGGTAGATGTATGCTCAGGGATGATAGATAATGTCAGAGTTGATGGATGGAGTGGTTGCAACACGCCTCTTCCTAGTCTCAGGTAGGTACGTACCTCACTCTCCAGCAGGAGTTGAACTTTAAGGCTGCCTGATGTCTTACAAGGACGCAAGAAAGATCCAGTTGTCATCCTTATTTCCTGGTGACCTGAAGCAGCCGTGACATATTGGCCCAGATCTCAGGTACTGGGGCGAAGACGACAGTACCAAGAGGAAGTAGGAGCTCGTGCAAGTGACACCTGCTTACGCTGGAACTTGTAAAAGTAGATACGACACTTAACAAGTTTTTGTAAGCCTAGTGAGACGTGTAAGTAGGGACAATAGGATTGAGTTGGATGTTTAAATGTTAGTTAATTTGACCTTTCCCTTACCCCCCCCCCTTGAATTTGCATTGATGTTTGATACAAGGTAGGGATTATGATTATACTCAGTTATGTATTGTTTATGATATATATATATATATATATATATTATATATATATATATATATATATATATATATATATATATATATATATATATATATATATACAAATATACATATATATATATATATATATATATATATATATATATATATATATATATATATATATATATATATATATATATATATATATATATATATATATAGTATATTTTGGTAGCAGTCTTTCCTGTAGACATATATTATTAAATATGACCGAAAAAGTAAGATTAATAATTCTAACGCGAATTTTCTCGATCTTTCGTACATTTCTTTTCACTGTTGGTGGTAATTCAAAAATCAATTCTCCAAAATTCATTTTTATTTCTAGTCTGACGCGACCCTTGAGCGCGTTTCGTAAAACTTATTACATTTTCAAAGACTTTAGTTTACACATACACAACTGAATAGAACTTACACATCTCCGGTTTGTTTATATCTACATTTGAGTGAGGTGGATGGGGTGAGGTGGTATTTAATAGGGTATTAAATTCATCAACACAAGACATAACACGAAACAATGGGTATTGAATGGAAGTGATTGTAGAAAGCCTATTGGTTCATATTTCTTGATGCTTCTATATTGGAGCGGAGTCTTGAGGTGGGTAGAATATAGTTGTGCATTAATTGGCTGCTGATTGCTGGTGTTGACTTTTTAATGTGTAGTGCCTCGCAAACGTCAAGCCGCCTGCTATCGCTGTATCTATCGATGATTTCTGTGTTGTTTACTAGGATTTCTCAGGCGATGGTTTGGTTGTGGGAAGAGATTATATGTTCCTTAATGGAGCCCTGTTGCTTATGCATCGTTAAACGCCTGGAAAGAGATGTTGTTGTCTTGCCTATATACTGGGATTTTTGGAGCTTACAGTCCCCAAGAGGTATGGTAAACAACACAGCTCAATTCCAACACAATGTCACACAAAATAATTCAATAAAAATAAAATAAATCGAAATCTATGAAAATAAAATTTATCAATGCAATCGGAAACCTTGAAATGGAATTTGTGACATATTTATTATAGCGTGCATGTTGCTATTAGGTGCAACAGATGGCGCTGTTTTTCAAAAACGCATGTTTTTTACCTGTCACAGGGGTGGCATCTATATAGTAGATATTTAAAAAGACGCGCCTATTCGAATGCAACGTTGTGTCAAAATTTCAAAATAATCGGTAAAGAGGTTGCGAAGATTTCTCCTCACATGAAAAAACAAATGAAAAACACAATTTTTCTAAAAAAAAATATTTTTTTTTTACCGTCACAGACGTGACATCTATATAGTATGTATATAAAAACCTGTTCGGATGCGAATGGAACGTTGTGTGAAAATTTCAAAGCAATCGGTGAAGAACTTTCGGAGATTAGCGGCTATGCCCAAACGAACAATTCCCTTTGAATTTATATAGATATATATTGAGCAGACTTGAGTGTGTGTGCACCAGAGGTGTCTGGTGGTTTAGAGTGAACTATTCTCGTGTGGTAAAGCCTAGTGATGGTAGAAGGTGGCTGTGTGCGGCGTGTTTACTGTGACTACCCGCCAAACACACACCGAAACTACGACGTTGGTGCAACGTTCGAACAATTTTTAACACCTAACCAGTTATAACAACCATTATAGCGAGTTGTAACAACGTTCTAATGCGTCATAAACACGTTAAGCCAAGATGTAACAACTTTATTACAAGTTGTAACAAGCGGAAAATAGAGACAGTTTCGGTTTGTGTTTCCAGGGTTATTTCTCCCATTATTACTGAAGTACGTACCGGAATTACGTGATCAACCTTATTAATATGCAGGCGATGAGTCACAATAACGTGGCTAAAGTATGTTGACCAGACCACACACTAGAAGGTGAAGGGACGACGACGTTTCGGTCCGTCCTGGACCATTCTCAAAACGTCGTCGTCTCTTCACCTTCTAGTGTGTGGTCTGATCAATCTTATGAATGATTTCTTAAAGTTTTGCTCGACTTTCTAGTAGTTTGTGTCGCTCTAATGAGTGAATTAAGCAAACTGATTTCTGTTTTCAACCATTCCTGAGTAGCCTATCAGAGCAGTCGCTCGTCGGGTATTTCATTATATGAGTTGAGAGAGGCTATAAAATTATAACAAATGCCAGTTACTATGTTCACTATATATGAGTTTATGATGCGTTGTTTCCGGAACACCTCTTTCTACTCCTATTTACTACTTGTCAAATATTGTAACATAATCAAACACTATCCAAACAGCTCACACCGTGGCGAGAACGTGTGTGGATGGAGACTGAGTATAATTATTGACAGTCAGTAGGTTACTCGATAGTGTGTGTCGACACTGAATGATAGGAACGGCACCAGAGTGTTTACTGAGCCCACAGCCCCACTGCCAACGTAGAGCCAAAGCAGAGTGCCACACTAGGTGTATAAGAGTCATTAAGGGTACCTGTATATAGTAGCCTCAACCTCTTGAGTTCGTTGGCTACATTAAGAGCCCCAAGATGTGGATTATTGTCATATGTTGTTCACTGGCTGGGGCATCGAGGCGCTGCAGTACGTCATAAGGATTGATGGCGTCCAACCACAAGAGTCAGAAGGGACATACCGTCCCACGTCCTGGGACGACGAGACATGGGCCGGCCAAGTGGTCGAGCAGTCTCTCCCTCTCTACTCCGTAGCGTTACTGGGACCCCTCGATGGGTCTGGTGTCCTCTGAAACATATTGGTGTTTCTTTTGCAGTGAATTGCAAACGGGAAATGTGCAACAGATGGCAGAGTTGATGGATGCGGTCAGGATTGAGAGATATTATCATGACTGATGAATATCTGACTGAATGTCAGATATACAAATACACAACTTGCATTCATTTTTGTCTGTCGGTGTACAAGTCTAAGAGATTAT